CGTTCCTCTTGAACGATGAGTGCATAAGCCCGGTGTATGTCCGGAACAGGTTCGGTGGCAATAATCTGAGATCGGATGTGACCGAACTATTTGTCGTCGAGCCCGAGCAAAAAATGATGAGTCTTCTCCTGTTCCTTGCGCGCCCGAATCAAAGCCGCAGCCTCACACCGGCAACCACACGTTGGATCAACAGATCCATATAGCTTGTTCCACAAAGTCACAAATTGGTTATAGTAGACAACCACAGTTTGTCCCTTTTGACGCAAAGATTGAAACTCAGATTTCAATTGGTGAATACGAGGTCCATTGGAACCTCCATATCTGGTCTTCAGATCTAACCATAATTCATGAGCAATTTTATGGGAGATAATGGAAGGTTGGATGTGTTCATCAACACTGTTACAGATCCAAGAACAAATTATGGAATTATTAGCTTTCCATGCCTCCAATTCCTGTTCATCAGTGGGTTTAAGAAACCCGGAAGGATTGAGAAAACCTGCTCTACTACGCCCTTCTAGAGCATTAATAATGGTTTTCTCCCAAATATCATAATTATCACCTTTGAGAAGATGCTTCGTCAAGGAATTACCCGCACTTTCGGACGGGTGGATGTAGTACGGAGAGGTAGGGTCGTGGATGAGCCTGACCTTCTTTGTTCCTTCGCTTGCCATGGAAACGAAGATAGTACTGGCGTGAGACGGTGATTATGAGTCCGACGTGAGCCGGCGCTGCAGCGGTGGTGATCGACGTGAGCCGATCGAAGAGGGGCGACCGTGGTGTGGCGGCCGGCGAAGCAACGGTGGCGGCACCGTGCGTGAGAAAAAAAAAACCTAGGGTTTGAGAAGGTCCCGGGAAATTGGCTCCGATACCATGTAGAATTTTGGAAAAACTGAACTGCCTTTCATTCAATATTCACAACGTATATATACATGTGCCAAGTCCTACTCCAAGTATGGAAAGGACTACTAACAAGGAAACTAATTACACTACTAACAAGGAAACTAATTACAAAGGAAACTAATTACATATATGGTAGTAAATAAATATATATGCTAACACCTTTCAATAAGCATATTATATTTTTAAATTTTTACTTTTATTTTACCACTTGAACTAATTACATTACATGCTCATTCTCTCATAAAATGGATTATCATCTTTAAAAAAATTACAAAATCTTATGAGAAATTTACCCAAATAGAACTAAAACATGATGACTTTCTTAAAATAGGATCATATGTTTTTTTTATATCTCAATGTAGGACCATTGGTCATTATCAATTAGTCATTAATCAAGTAAATGTCTACCATCACTAGACATTATTTCTCTCATTAGAAATTATTACTCTCTCCGTCCCGGAGTATTTGTCCACTTTTGACTTTTTTCGGTCAAAATTGGTAAACTTTGACCTTAAATTAAATAAAAATAATATTAGATATTGATACAAAACGAGTTTTATTAGATTTATTATATCAAATATTTTCAAAATATTATTTTTTTAATTAAAATATAATATATATTTTATTTAATTATAGATCAAAGGTTGAAAACAGTTGACCGAAAAAAGTCAAAACTGGACAAATACTCAGGGACGAAGGTAGTAAGTAGTATTATTTAGAGAGTAAGTCTTACATTAAAAAATGACTTATGTTTTAGTCCTATTTAGTGCACATTTCTCAAATCTTATCCCTTAAATATATTATATTTAAAAATTGAACAAATGTTATACACACTACCTCCGTCCCTAAAAGATTGCTAGAGTTTGACTTTTTTGGTCAAACAGTGACACTCTTTGAGCACGAATTATGGAAAATGTATACTTAGTTATAAAGTAAAATTAGTAAAATTGGATTTATTTTAAAATCGGTGGGGTTCTAGTGACACCGGATTACGATGACACTCCGGTGCTACTTTCATTTTGGAGCACTTCCGATGCTCCATTCATAAAATTGACGGTTCCTATCCCCCCTAACCTGCCCCCTGTACCCCCCACCCCACCCCCGCCCCTGTACCCCCACCCCAACCCCGCCGTAGGCCCCCCA